TTTCAATTGATTGCTCTTCCTCTTCACCTGCTGGTATTCCTATGATCTGGATGTTGGCACATTTGGAGATGTCCCAGAGGGTCCTTATACTATCCTCATTTTTAAAATTCTTATTTCTTCTTGCTCTTCTGGTTGAATGCTTATTTCTTCCTTATGTTCCAAATCATTGATTTGAATCCCAGCTTCCTCCCCTTCACTGTTGGTTCCCTGTAGATCTTTCTTTATTTCACTTAGAGTAACCTTCACTTCTTCCTTTATGTTGTTGCCATACTCAATGAGTTATTTCAGCAATCTGATCACCAATGTTTTGAACTCTGCTTCTGCTAGGTTGGTTATCTCTATTTCATTTAGTTCTTTTTTCTGGGATTTTGTTCTGTTCTTCTACTTGGGCCATATTTCTTTGTCTCCTCAATTTGGCAGCCTCCCTGTGTTTGTTTCTGGGTATTCAGTAGAGCTACTTTGACTCCCTGTTTTAGTAGAGATGTCCATTGTAGAAAAGGCACCTGTAAAATGTGTGTGGTGGAGTCTTAGGTAATCACCTGGCTTCTGGGCACTCACTCCATTTACTGTCATGTCACCCACTCCTCATATGCAACTGGTGCCCTTCCAGCTGTTGCCCTGCTGCTGAATCTCAGAGTGGGTGAGTTTGCACACATTCTAAGACTATGTGAGCCCTTTAAGCAAAGTCTCCTGAATATCTGGTAATTTATTCTGTTGCCCCAAGCCCCAATGGTTTTTACAGCCAGAAGTTATGAGGACTTATCTCCCCAGCTCTGGAACCCTGGACTGTGCAGTGTCACCTGGGGCTGGGATCACTTGCTCCTAACATATCCCTCCTGATTTTTATCCAAATGTGAATATGGGACCACCCATTTCACCACCACTGTTTCCTCTCCATACCACACCATGTCTCTTCATTTCTCCACCCTGTCTCCACATCTGCACTCCTCCTACACATCTGGATGAATATGGCTTCTTTAAATCTTCAGTTGTTGGAGACTTTCATACAGTTCAATTTTCTGACAGTTCTGGGTGTTATTTGCTTTGAGATTTAGTTGTAATTCTCTCTGTGGTTGTGGGAGGAGGCAAAGCACATCTATATATGCCTCATCTTGACCAGAAATCTCAGGCATGAGGGGTTTTTTTTTAAAATTTTCTTAGTAATTATGTACCCAGAGTAAACTCAAAGGAGGTCTAAAAATACTCTATAAAAAAAGACTCACTATTAACTACAACAGAACTTACTGGTAGTAATTTGGAGTGATGAAATTATCAAAGATTCTGAAATTCTTTTTATTTCTAATTCTATAAAGCTTGTCCTTTATTTTTTATCTCCACATCTTCTCTTTCCTCATTTCTACTCTCTACTTACCAGTCTTACCTTCTCCAACAATTCCTTCTCTTTATCACTGTCAAACCTCTATTTTAAAGTTCTCTGACACCAGAAATGAAATCTTCAAAACTGAGAGAAATGAGGAGAAAATTTTCTTCTCAATGCTTCCCTTCCACTGGTCCTCACCCCATATGTAATCTCATACACACATTTCCATGCATGCTGTCTCCTTCACTTAATAAACCATGTTCCACTCTCCTGTCCTGATATACCCAGTTACAAAAACAGACCTCCAAATCCCACCCAGTTTTCAAAATCTACCTCCCAGTCTTCTAAAATGCTATCTAGACAATTCCAACTCATAGTGCTCTTTTTCTTCTCCAGCACCCTTGTAGTCTACATGATACTTTCTAATTACACATTCTCAATATAACATACATAATTACTTGACTACTAACATCAGACAAGCTGGGATTTATTTACTAGCAGTGTGATATTAAGTCATTTCTCCAAGTCTCTGTTTTCTCAGCTATAAAATGATGACAGTGTGAGTTCAGTACCCTTGCTCACAGGGTTGTTAGATTAGGCAAGGCAATTCACACAAAATGCCTAGTGAGCCTGCAATAAATATTAGTCATTTGTATGTTGTCAGCTGTCATCCTCTCCTCTACGGTTTTGTTTTGTTTTTTGTTTTCTGGGTTTTTTTGGTATACCTTAAGCGCTCATCCAGATTCTGGACTCTGGAGGCCAGAGACTACATCCTACAGATTTTTAATAAGCATATCCTTATATAATTTATGACTAAATGACATAGTACTTTCTAAATAATGAGGATAAGGGGACAATGATAGCCAGCTGGTATGCACAACTAGTACAGGGTTAGGAAATATTAACTTCATGACACATTTATAGAATGCCCTATTATAGGGGCCAGGTGTTACTTAGGAGTTGCAATAATTTGCAGAATAGACCATGCATACCTCACCCCAGCAAATATCTAAATTTGCCTAATAAATGCTGAAGCTGTACAATAATAGATAGTCTGCAATTTCCAGAGAGTCTTCTTCTCTAGCTCCGTGTCTCACAGAAAGGCTCAGCTGTGGGTTATGAGGTGAAGAGGGGAGATATCACAGCAGATTTTTATGTAGAGGGTAAGTACTTTTCTGGGAGGCTGTAAACTTATCACTGTCTACAAATAATAGATAACCTCTAAGTATCTGTGAGGTATTCTTGATTACCATTATTCTAAAACCTGCATGAAAATTTCCAAAGCAGGGAGGTGAGCAAAGTTTGTTTTAAGCAACATACAAATCTTTAATGTGCACTCTTTTAGTTCTGTTTCATGCAACCCATTGCCAACTTAAGAAAAATTCTTATGTCTAAACTTATATAAAATATAAACAAGAATGTCTTGTAACTTCTATTTTGCATCTTTACTAACTAAAACTATGGGACAGCTAGGTCAAAGGTCCTATGACCTGAAAACAGGCCTCCATGACTTTATGATGAAATTTCTACTGGGAAATTACTGCATCTATGATTCAAAGAAATATTTACAAGCCTTGGCTGGCATAGCTCAGTGGATTGAGCACGGGCTGTGAACCAAAGCATCCCAGGTTTAATTCCCAGTCAGGGCACATGCCTGAGTTGCAGGCCACATCCCCAGTGGGGGCCACATGAAAGGCAACCACACATTGATGTTTCTCTCTCTCTCTTTCTCCCTCCCTTCCCCTTGCTAAAAATAAATAAATAAATAAATAAAATATTTACAGAACACTTACATGCAAGGCAGTTCTAGTTGCTGAGGACACAGCAGCAAATAAAAGAGACAAAAATACCTCTTCTTCAAAAACTCAGAGACACAATGCTAAGCGAAATAAGCCAGGCAGTGAAAGACAAATACCATATGATCTTACCTTTAACAGGAACCTAAACAACAAAACAAACAAGCAAACAAAATATAGCCAAAGACACTGAAATAGAGAACAGGCTGACAGTGACCAGAGGGGAGAGAAGAGGGAATTTCAGGGGAGAATGGGAAGGGTTTACAGGAACAAATATAAAGGACACATGGACAAAAACTAAGGGGGATGGAAATGGGAGGGAGGTGGGGAGGGATGGGTGGATGGGCTGGGATGGGAGTAAAGGACAGAAAACTGTACTTGAACAATGATTAAAATAAAATTAGAAAGGAAAAACTAGAAATGATGCTAGGACAAAATATAGAAAACCTAAATGCAGAAATAAATAGATGTTCGTGGAATGAAAAAAAAAACCCCTCAAAGACACAAATAACAGTATGTTGGGAAGGGGGATTATGGGGCTAATAAAAGGGATCAAATGTGTGATGACAGAACACTTCACTTTGGGTGGTGGGCACACAGTGCAATATACAGATGATGTGTCATAGAATTGTACACTTGAAACCTATGTAATTTTATTAACCAATGTCACCCTAATATATTTTATTTATATAAATAAATGATAAAGGTCCAAATTTTCTCCTAAAATACTTGTTTTTAGGCCATTCACATTCTAGTAGGGGGGTGGACTGGTAAAAAAAATGAACAAATGGTTATAAGGTATGTGGAATGGTGCTGTATTGTGGAGAAAAATAAAGCAGAATAAAGAGGACACAGAAGAGGTGGACCTGCAGTCTTACACTAGAGGTTCAAGAGATGCTTCTTTGAGGAAACAGCATCGAAAGACAAGGAACTGAGACTATGTAAGTATCTGGGGAAGGGGCTTTCCAAGCAAAGGAAACACAACGTGCCTTAGCCCCCAAGCAGAAGCTAAGTTTTGTGTAGATGTTTTGGGAGAAAACGAATAAAAGATCCTTGGATTGGAGTCCTAGCTCTTTGCTTTTACCAAATCAGAAACTTTTAGGAAGAGAACAATTTTACTTCTCTGGAACTTCAATGTCTTCCTCTGTAATTAAAGATGGTACCACATAACTCGCAAAATTATTCCCAGAGGGAAAAGGATGTTTGAGAATGCACTTTACAGTACTAATGGATGAGTCCCAAATGTGTGTCCTGAGGGCAATGGTAAATTTAATAAAGGCTCTGCTGGCTTCAATCCATAAACGAAATAAATTATCAAGCTTGTTTCTTCTTTCCAGTGAGGATAATAGTATCCATCTCATCGGGCGCAGTGGGGATTCGATGAATGACCTAATCCACGTAAACACAGTGATTGGCACACAAACTCAAAACGTGAAAGATCCACATCACTATCCCTCTGGGTGTGCGAGCTATACTCCCCACGGGGCATCCAGGCTGAAACTCTTCAAAGGTGCTTTCACAGACTGTAAAATCCATTCAAACATGTTGGACTACTTGGAAGACTTTTTCCTCACATCCACCTTCTACTATGACATTTTAGGTTTTAAGAAATCAGCTTCACTCTCGGAAGCCTTTTTAACATACTCAGGTCCCATCTCAAACTGCCTTGAAATTGAGCTACCACCAAATTCACAGTTCTTAACAACCAACTCAGAGATCCTGCCTGCCAGCAGCGCCACCTGACCTTGAGCGCCAGAGGGCGGCCTTTTATAACGTCGTCATTACGTCACTTTGAGTCGCTGCACAGAGGTGGGCGTGGCCACACCCAGGCCCTTGCTGAGACCTAGCCTCTGCGCAGACTCAAGAGCTTTTCCGGAAGAGAGGTCAGAGTGGGGCGCAGAGCGTGAGGTCCCACAGCATCACTGCGCCGGTGGGTGCTTGGCTTTCCCAGGCAGCGCAGGTGCCTGCATGGCCGGTAGGGACGATGTTGTTCAGGAGGAAGGGCTGGGGTGATGAGGAAAGTTCTTGAGTCCTCTGGATGGAAGCGGGACCTGGGGTGGTCAGAGGGCCGATGACTCTGAGACTATGTGAATCTTCATTTCAGAAGGCAGAATTCGTTGTGGGGTTTGTGTGAAGTGCTGATGGCAGGCGTAACAGAAAAGAAGTTATTATGGACCAACTTTACAGGATTTCCTTGACACTGCACTGGAAACTGGAAAGAAGGCAGTGAGGACTGGCCTGTAGTAATTTTAACGGAAAATCTCTCTAACTCTTCCTTGCAGGGTGGGCCTGGGGAAGGGGAAACCTTTCGAGTGATTGCTGTCCTCGGTGCTGAATACAAAACAGTGGTCCCTGGAGGAGGAAACTCGATGAGGGCCGGGGTGGCATTTGCAATTCCGCGTCTAGAGCTCAATGTCTCCATCAGCTCTGGACACTTGGTTGATCCGCAATCAGTGTTACATTTCATAAAATTTAAGAAAGCTAGTACTTCGTTCCAGAAGGGAATTTCATTCCTGTCTTTTCTCCCTTAGGGCCGGCACCTTCAACTTTTGCACCCAATCAGACCATTTGCCTTCAGGCTCCAATCCTAAGTTTAGAGCAACCTCTATGTTGGACTAGGTTCTCCAGCCAAGGTGAGCTTGCTCATGTGCCAGGAAAATGGGCTTCCCGAACTTCCCAAATGTGACTCCTTAGCAGCCAGGGTAAGGTGCAGGGAGCAATGGTGCTTTCCCCCCACAGTTACATATAAAAAAATCACTTTCCTGTTTGGAAAAGAAATGGTAGAACTGGACAGTGTTCCAATAAAGGAAAGACCATGAATTTCCAGTTGCTTCTAATACATGTTTGCCTTCCTATGTATATGTGTGCACATGCATGAGGGATGGTGCTCCTGTATTGGTTTACAGAGAAGATATTTTTCTATTTACTTCATAAAATGTTACTAGTCTTAGTACTAGCTGCTTGCTTGTTTTGAATTGCTTAAGATTAAAATGTGGAAAGAAAAGAGGGAAAATATGAAATGTGTTGAATTTACTTGATTAACAGTATTCTTAGATGCATCTGGCATAAGAAAACTATGCATCATAAATAAAAATGTTTTTAAATACATTATTTCATTTTATACAGTATTATATCTCAAGTTTTAGTTTTCTCTCCTGAGAAAACAAATGATCGAATAAATAAAACGATGAAATATTGTGAAGCTGAGGACATGTGGTAGAAATAACTGTAAATGTTTTTACTATTTAGCAGAAAGCTTCTAATGCAGCTTTAACTAAAGATGACTTCCTTGTTCACTCAAGAAATTCGCCTGTCTAAAAGACATGAAGAAATGTAAGTTTCTTTAAAAAGCTAATCTAAATAAATAAATTATGCTGACTTTATTAGTGAAACATTGTGTGCACAAGAAGACTTAAAAATCTGAAAGTGTGTCATTTTAATTTCCTGACACTTCAGAGATTTTGGTCTAAGGGAATGTCGTTGTCCTTAAGAATAACAAAGATTGAAAGATATAATCATGTTCTGTATGTTTTTACAATTATGTTCTGTATCTTTTTGCTTTTGTTACTGGTATCTAGACGATTTCACCCTTCCTGTCACACTTTCTGGGCTACACACTAATATTTAATGGAATTCTTGAAGCCTCTTGTCCTGGGCCAGCTTTGTGGGTCTGTGACCTGTGTGACCACAGGTCCTGCACTTGGTTTAATGTCCTAATGTTGTACTCTTGAAATTCCTAATACTTTTTAATAAGGGGCTTCATAATTTTATTTTACATAGGGCACTGCAATTATATAGCCAGTCTTGCACTTATATTTTGTATTAACCCTTCTCCATCTCTGACTATGGGCTCTCATGTTTTCCTTTTCTCTAATTAATCACCAGCCCCTCTTCCTTTGTCTTTTAAGATATTTTACCTACAAAAATGACTGTATCAAAGTTTAGTTCTATGCTCAATAACAGCCCTATGAAACAAGTGTTTCTTGAGAATCTCTACAACTACTGGGGAGATGATTAGTCTGTTACATATACTATTTATGTATTTTTTATCATCTGACATATTTACTTATTAATCATTTAAGACCAAAAACTTGTAAACTCAACATTGTACCAGTGAGACATTTTTAAAGTATATTCTATATAACAAAGTAGTTTGATAATTCACTAACAACATTTTACATCTTTCTTCAGCTACAGTTTTACCTTGTGGTGAGTTTGCATACATACACATAGCCTCTTCACTCATCTAGGGAACCATCATCTTTCTCTTAGAAAAAGAGGAAAAAAATATTTGTATTGCTTTTTCAGACATATGGAAGTTTAGCACAATTCTAAATGTGTAACACAAGATTCAGGAGTATTAAAGTGTTGAGCAGAAGGTTTAGTGCAGCAAGTTACATCAATGTATATGTGTGTAGAGGTATATGTAAGTATGTATACAAGGAGATGTTTGAATTTTCATCAATAAATTAGAACTTATATGGTTTCAACACTTTAAAATAATTTTAGAAGACCAAGGAGGCTAAAAAAGACAGAAGCATATACTTATGGTATATGTTAATGAAAATAAAAATAATTTCATCCAGATTTAAGACATATTGAACTACCTAAGTTTTTTGCTGTCTTATTAATTGGCTTATAAAATAGGTTGAAGTACAGTTAAGAAGTGGATATTTTACATTGGTCAAGCAATAAAATATTTCCTTTTAAAAAACTATATATATAATAATCTTCATTTTTTCTAGAGTATCGAAAAGAGTAAAGTCACTTCAACAAATGAAGAGTAAATTTAGAGATAAAAACAAGGAAAAGGCATCTCAGATTCAAGCAGCTGAAGCTGCATTTGAAAGGAACCTTAGTCTTTTAAAGGTAAGTTTCCAAGACTTGAGTATAAGGAATTCTTCCATCTTTGAAAAAGGTTTGACGTGAATTTAATAATTTGATTTGTACAATGTCTTTGTTACGAGTAATAAATAGAATTAATGAAGCATCATCTGTTTTTCAGAGCCATGTAGTGAGATAAGGAGCATATGAATTCTCATTTTTTAAAATGAAAAAAAGTGAAGTTTGCTTAAGCTAAATGTTTTCAATCAACCAGAAATTTCAATGACTACAGAAGGAATTTTAAGGTCATCTTTTATGCAAAAAGTAATAAATATAAGATGTAGCTTTCAATCTTTCATCTTTTCTTTGTAGGGAGATTTTAAAATACCATAAAGTACCTATAGTATATTTACATGTAACTCAACACTCTTTAACATCATAAAAACAAGAACACTTTGATTTGCCTTGGTGGGGCCACAGTCCACACATAGAATTCATATGTAAGATAACAGATTTTCAAGATCCCTTTGGATGGTGATGGAGGGGGCGGTCAAAGTGTGTGATTGCGCAGGGCCTCACCATTTGGCCAATGTGCCCACTTGGAGTAAAATCATATGTGTAACATTTTTGGCTGCTTGCTATGCTTTGCTTCCAGAATTGTATGGCTTCATCCATAATTAAAACCCTAAAAGTTTGCTTCTAGTCAAGCTTCCAAGAGATCCTATGACTAAAACATTTGGTACTAAGGCTATATTATTTAAGTTATAAAGAAGTGTTTTCAGTTTTTTATTGTTAAATATTTTCATCGATAGGCATGATATAGTTATCTTCTGTCCTCACTAGAGGAGATAAAGGAAGAGAAAATTCAGTTATCTTCTCAGCTTCTGGCAGTTTGAGCCACAGTAATTTAAGTCACAGCCATAGTGCTACCAAAGCATTCTATATTGCCATATGTCTTACTTGCCCAATGGTGTTTGCAATATTTATTTTTAAATGGAAATATATAGGGTAATCTGGAATTTGCTGTGAAAAAGTCAGAAAAATGAAATTAGAAGGCTTGAAGTCTTGGTTGCTACTTCCTGCAGCAAGTGCAGGTAATATTTGCTTAATATTTTATTAAGCAAATATTTGATGAATGCCCAGAGGGTCCTTACTATTGAGCTAGTTCTGGTTAGAAAGTGGGGACCACAAAACAAGCATTAAGTCATAGCTCTTCACTTCAAGTAGCTAACAGGCTTAGTTGATGTTGTAAGGTTGTCACACACAAAATATGAGACTTTATGTGATTAAACATTAAGTTTTGTGGAACACTCAGCACTCATATTCTAGGAGTAGGTGTAAAAAATCTTTGAGAGCTCAAATATTCTAAGAGGTCTCAGAGAGGAATCTAAGCTGGAGCTGTGTTTGAATTGGCAGAAGGCAAGGTGTTCTGCTGGATTGTTATGAAAGAGCCAGCAGAAGAACTTTATTAATGTCAGAGGACTATGAGCTAACTAGCTTGGAAAGTCACAGAAAAAAGTTGAATATGTATTGTGAGGTCTGTGAGTAAACTGAGACTATATAGAGATAATACAATACTCAAAGTTTTGGGACAAAAGAAAAATAAAAACTTATATAAGAAACATATGAGAGGATATTTAGGAAAGATTCATTTGCTATTTAGATGTAAAGTCACTTCAAGAATGGAGAGATTGTATTTAATAGAAGTATGTAGTAACTGTCATATCTAGAAGGAAAATAATGAACTATCTCATAGTCATCAGAAACTAGTGTGAAATGGTATTTTTCTCCTGATTATCAAAGTAATATATTCTCACTGCAGAAAATTTGAAGAGCAAAGAAGATGAAATAACTTCTTTATCCTGCTTGCCTAGGAACTAATATATTTTCGTGTATTTCCTTACAGTCTTTAATAAACATTTATTGAGCACTTGTTTTATCCCAGATACAGATGCTATCTTCCCAGTCTTTGTTTTACATGTTTTGGATAATTATATATGCGATTTTTATCCTGCTTTCTCTCATAGTTTTTAATTTTGGAAATCAATTTAATGGCTCTGTTATAGAAATTATTGTGAAAGTAAAATAAATAGGACGTGAGTACAGAATTTTGAGTTGGGAGAGACATTTAAAAGCATACAGATTAGATTGTCATCTGTAAAGTTTTCAATTTTTTTTTAGCATAGAAACAATTTCAAAGCTGTAAAATAGATAATAGTGGACAGCTTTGGTCCAAAGCCCCACCCATTCAGCCCTTTTTTGTCTGCCCTTCTGTGGCTCTAAGGAACTGGGACAACTGCTAGTCTGCTCTAGTTCCTTAATTTAGAGATGAGGAAACCATAATAACTACTCCTAATACTCCTTGTTAAGAACAGGTTGAGTTACATTAGGATATGTACTTAAGTGCAGAATGTGCTTCAAAAGGGTTCCATTAAAACTTAGAAGAATTCCTATAAAGGTAGTAGTAGCAAAATAAGGATGATCTACATCTCCATCCATTATTTGATCTTACTTAGAAGCTCTGGCTAATATAATAAACACTAAAATAGAAAGAGTTTTAACTTTTGGACAGGAAAATGCAGCACTAGCATTTTTAAGTGGTATGGTTATATAATAAGAAAACCTAAAATTATTTTAAAACTAGTATATTTTGAGTTGAACAAAATTAATGGATAAAAGGTGAATATCAATAGCAATTCTACAGATACAGCTGGAAAATATAAGAGATCAGTTTCACCTTAGCAATTAAATTATAAAACACTTGGGAATGCTCTTAAATAGGGATGTGCATCATTTGTATGAAAAAATTATTGCATTTCATTGGAAGATTTATGAGAAAATTTAAGTAAAAATACATGCCTTATTCTTGAGTGGGGAGTATTACTTTTCTCAAGTGAGCTGTCACAATGTTATTTTTAGATTTACAAAATTCCAACAAAATGTGTATCAAACCCAATAAAATTTCTCTAAATGTATTTGCAAAAATAAATTAGCAAGAATATCAAAGAATATTTTTTAAAAGGAGCAATAAGGAAGAGCCTAGTCCCATAAAAGATTCAAACTTATTAGTAAAAGAATGAACAAGAATATAAGTAGAAGAAAACTCACAGTGAGGGTTTCATCAGTAAATATTGTAACAGTGGACTTTGAAAACAGACTGAGTGATTTTTCCCTGTTAATATTTAGAAAATGAAATTTATTTGCCTTTTAAAAATATAAGCATAATTGGTCTGCATTTGTAAGAGAAACAGAGGATTTTGTTACAAAAAATATTTCCATAACTTAGACTGTCATCTCTCTCACCTTTATCCACAAAAACCTTAGTTTTACCCATAAAGGGCAATTTCATGCTAATGAAGGTCATCTCATGAGGAGGGCGGACAAACACTCCAGGGTAAGAGTGAATGGGAAAGTGCTCCAGCGCATTAGCGATGCCCTGAGGGCTTCCATGTAGGTATGTCCTGGAAGCCTTCACAGGGCAACTGGCAATCAGATCCTTCAACAAACTGCCTGCCACCCAGGATGGCCAATGACTTACAAGTCCACATCTCTTCTCTTTCCTCCTCACATCTGTCACTTTCTCCAATTCAATGAAGAATAAGTTCAATGAATGTTTAAGTGTTCCTTGTACCAATGACCTTGTACCTTATGTTTTAGTATCTTGTTTCTTTCATCCCAGAAATTGCACCTCCAGCAGATTAAAAGATTAAACCTAGCCCAGCCATAGCTGAGTTTACTGTATACATTTATAGGGAGATATATATTGCTGGGCTGGGAGGCAGGGGTGAGGGGGAGAGGAGATCTCAATCTGCAAGTGTTTTTGCTCCTGTTCTACCTGTCCTAGTCACAAGTCAACTCATTTATACAGGCTGCTGAATTCTGCCATTGTGTAACATTTACACCATCATACGCACTAGACGCTTGTTTTCTAATTTTTATGAAAAATTTCAAACCTGTGTAGAAGAGGGAATAGAAGAATGTACTTCCATGTGCTTATTACCCAGATTAAATAATTATCAAAACATGACCAATCATGTTTCATCCATACTCCTCACCTCCCACCCCTCAGATTATTTTGAAGTTAATCTTCAATATCTCATTGTTTCATTTGTAAATAATTCAGCAAATTATCTCTATATTATTTCAGTATTTATCACTAAAAGACAAGGACTATTTAAAGAAAAATCACAGTATCATTATCAATCTAAGAAATTTATGATAATTCCTCAAATACCCAATAAGGATTCATATTTCCCTGATTAATTGATTGATAGGAGTCATGAATCTCTAAGTCTCCCCTGCCCTTTTAATTTCTTTGTTGAAGGAATTGGATCATTGTCCTACAGACTTTCCCAGAGTCTGCATATTGCTAATTACATAGCTGAGGTGTCATTTGGTATGTTCTTCTAGTTCCCAGAATCCCTATAAATTGATAAGTCTAAGTTGTGCTGTGCAACAGAAATATAATATGAGCCACATATGTAATTTTAAATTTTCTAGTAAGTACTTTTAATAAAATGAAATGAAATAGATTAAATAAAATGTCATTAGAAGTAATTCCATCACAAATATAAAATATCATTTCAAATGCAATCACTAGTCCTTTCCTTCTAGCAGCATATAGTCAAAGAATTTTTCAGACAAGCTAAGGAATTCATATTTCATCTCCTGCATACTGGGTATCATTTTTTTTAAATCTAAGTAAGGACCTATTTAAAGTAGTTTTAGCAAAACTAATCAATTCCATGTTCAGTATGGATTGAAGTAAAATAAGAATATTTTATTTGAAGTATAAGTGAAAGTAAGTATTCAATAAATAGTTGTTTAGTGAATAAGTGTAATAATAAGGCCATAGCACTGGGAATGGCATGGAGAAGCTGGAGGAAACATCCTGAAGCTCTGAACTTTTAAATGACAGTCTGACAGAGTTCAGAGGGGAGAGGAGAGGGAATTTCCGGGGAATTTCAGGGGAAGAGGGGTTTACAGGAAGAAGTATAAAGGGCACATGGATAAAAACTAGGGGTGGGTGGAAATGGGAGGGAGGAGGGGAGGACTGGGTGGGTGGGTTGGGATGGGAGTAAAAGAAAATTGTACTGCAACAATTAAAATAAAAAATATTTTAAAGATAAAAATAAATAAATGACAGGGAATAAGAAGAGCTGAAGATACAGGGTATCTAGGTGAATAGATTTCCCACTATTATACATTCAATACATTCTGTAGCAAGAAAATGAGTGTAGTTTTATTAGGCTGATAAATAAGGACTAGGAAGAAAAGTTATCCATCCATCTACATGAATAGTGGAAGCTAGAGAAAAGACAATTTTGAAGGGTGAAAAAGTAAAAAGAAAATGACAAATGTCACAAATCTTAAGAAAGCCCACTGTTAGGTTTACCCTGAGAAACGTTCTAAAAGAGAAACAAAGGAGCCAGGTAAGGAGGAAGACAAAGATTCAGAGAGGTAAGCAAAACATCTACAGAAGTGAAATACCACTTCAGGAAAAACTGCTCTGGAGTGATAACCTCCTGTGGAAATGATGCAGAGGTGACAGTCAAGTTACTAACCACAGGCCTTATTTACCAGGTCACATGTCCCTACTGTATCTGCTTTTCAATAAAAGAAATTTAAAGATCAGAAAAGAAATTTTCTGATCTTTAAGAAAAATGTTGCCCTGGCCAGGTGGCTAAGTTGGTTGGAGCACTGTCCTATACGTTAAAAGGCTGCAGGTTCAATCCCCCATCAGGGTACATAACTAGGTTATGAGTTTGATCCCCCATCAGGGTGTATACAGGAGGCAACTGATCAATGTCTGTCTGTCTGTCTGTCTCTCTCTCTCTCCCGTTGTCTCTCTTTCTCTCCCTCTCAAAAATCAATAAAAATGTTCTCAGGTAAGGATTAAAAATATTTTAGAAAAGGAAAAATGTTTATAATCTTGTCTATAGGTACTAGTGACACCTAGATCTACCATTAACAATAACTTTGTAACTGTCCTTAGAATAATGGTATAATTGGAGTTGTTATTTTATCCTATCTGGTTTATAAAGTAAGAATTTTTTCAGGAGTTCGTAAAATCTCAATGTACTCACAGAAAAGTTATTCTCTGTCTGCTGTAGCATCAGCATCAAAAGCTTTTTGCATGTCTTCGATGTAAACTTCTGGGATGGGATCAACATGCTAATAGATGGGCTTTTTATCCCTAAATTGATGTTTTTCCCCTTCAAATCACCTTCCTCTAGACAGCAGGTGCATTAATAGCTGTGCAACTTTGGGGAGTCCCTTTAGGGAATTTCCTGTTTTTCCCTTTTACATTTCACACCCATCCCATGCTCCCTGCGCTGCCATCTGCTGTCTCTTTTCTCCTGTTCAGCATTGGCTTCTTCACACCCACTCCCACGCCCTTTTCCATCTCCCTCCGTCTGTCCAACAGCCCTGTACTAAGATTGCTCCAATGCTTTCTTTTTTCTCTCAAATCACAAAGCTCAAAGGAGAGACAAAATTTACATGGCCTTCAACCAAGGCCTCTTGTGAACCTGACAAATACAAGCAAGCACAAGACAACATTGGTGCTGATTTGGGAGCTTTAATTTAAACAGGACTCAAATGTTTCTGGGCATGAACTTAATGCCTGCATCAAGGTAGAATCTTTCCCAGGGTATGAATTACATTTAATTGCCCTTGTGTTGCTATAATCATAAGAGAAAATACACATATCTACAATTTAAGCCCCAGATTAAAGCACAGTGCTTGAATGCCATCAGCTAAATGCTATACTACCAAGCAATAAAACTCATTGTGGAGATTACCTTAGAAATTCAGTACTAAAAATCTAGAGAGTATAGTGAAAAGGTGTTGTTGTAAAGTGTTGACATACCTTATTGACTGTCTTTTAAATATTATTAATATTTTCATAAGTATAAAATTTAAAAGTGGAATATTGAACAAATGAAATGTGTCATTAATATATTATTTACATGATTTGGACAGACTCAATCTCTTTACTTTTAAGGATAGTGCAATGTGGGTCTGGGTATCTGACTGTTTTTAGTATCTGAATATTTGACTATTTTAGCCATCTGACTGTTTTTAATGATTTTAGAGCTAAGTTGGCACTCTGAACAGTTTTAGAGGAAGTTTTTTTTTTGTTTTCCTGCAAGAATTATTGACACTATTTAAAATAAAGCAGAACTTAGAAGTACCACCTCCACCTTTTATTTTAAAATAGAAAGCCCTGCACTCTCTATTTGAAACTGGTTAATTAAGCAATAATGAGTTCTCTTACCTCAGAGCCCCTCCATCAGTTCAAACTGTATGCAGAGAAGAGTGGAGGGGAGAGATTTGGGAAATTGATGTAGCTATAAATTACAGGTGCCATTTATGCATGCTATATAAATACATTTGTTTTTAAATGCTGATGTCTGTTGCAGGACATAGAAAGAGCAGAAAAGTTTCTACAGGCCTGGATTCAGCCATTTCCACCACCTGAGGTGGTTTCTCTTGAGGTGAGAATTGTGAGGAACAATGAATGGTAAAGACTGAATTATGTCTGTATTTACAAGATTAATTTATTCAACTAAAATAAACAAGATGGGTCTGGTCTTTACCTGTCCACAGAGCCATACTTTGTACATAGTAGGTAATAAGTATCTTGATTTAAACAAAAATTTGAACAAGTGAAAATTGTATAAAGATTTTGTGTCTTTTCACCTAGTCACTTAGAAACAACTATCCTGTTAAACTCTAACAGAAAATATGCACTAACTATTAAGCTGGCAATATGCCTAATCAAAGTGCTTTTCCTGTTGGCTGATGTTAGACATAGCAAGCAGTTCAGCCCTTCACCAAAAATTCAACCAATGCTATTTAAATGCATTTTATGCAGTATATTGTGGCTTTATCTGTTTTATTTTGCTCAGTTCAAGAACAGATTGGGAAGATGGTTGGCAAAAATAAACCAAACCATAGTTGGCATATGAATGTATTTTTGATGAAAGGGAATTTACTACATATAGAATAGTTTTATTTGATATTTTTAATGACCTTTTTCAAATACAATTTTGCTTGCTGCCTAACCAGGGATGTGAATAGACCCAAACTTAAAGGTTGAGAATTTGCCCCTCAATTTTCTGTGTCATCTAGAGTAATAAGAAAAGCCAGTGATCAAGGAGAGAAAAAGCCTTGGTACAAAGTTGTGCCCTGGGCATGTCTTTTTCTTTGTTGAATTCTCCAATACCTTACTCTGGCCCATATAGGGCCCACACAATAGGGGTTAATCCAGCTGTGAATGGTGGAGAAATTACCAACCACAGGCCTTGGGTGGTATTTTTCTTAGCTAGTCTTGCACAGCAGGATGACCTTTATTTTCAGTATGTCAGGTTCTTTCTCAGACCACATGCATAGATGCAGAGATATGTAGAATCCCTCACCATTATCAACTTTAGGAACTCCTGTACCTTTTTAATGATCAGAGTGAATCACTGTGTTCTTAATGCTAACTTTTTGACTGAATTTCTCAAAATGAGGTCGATAATGATGATGTAATACTAAATGCCCTCCTGTGATTCAGGGCTTTTGGCAGGTACTTTTCTTTGGCTTCTGACCCAAGAAGCCATTGAAGCTTGTATACACAATATGGTGGTGATGTTGCCTGAGCTTCTGTAACTTACAGATTGCTAGAGTCAGGCCAATAATACAGCACCTCAACATCCAAGTTATCTGAATTTAAAAATGGTTAGGTAGGTAATCTTGATATTATTTTCTCATCATACAAAAAAGGGAATAAATTAAAATTTGTTATATCAAGTGCTCTGTTAAAAGATATAGTGGATGCATTTTTTAATATTTTCCCCATGCAATTAAGGGGGTCAATTCACCTGAAGCAGGTCATGATTAATTATTTTCTTGTAACAAATATAGTGTGGGTAATCATTTGGTATGGGACTTGGAACATTAAACAAAAACATTTAATAACTGCAGTCATAAATGATACTGGTAATAAACACAAGGTTGGCCACAAGAGGGCGTGTAAAATCACAATAAAATTCTGAAACCTGTAACTCTGCCAGGCTCTGGTTTTACTGAGAAATTTGAAAATTAACACTAGTAAGTAGCCAGATTTTTTTCTAAAATTAACATAAGATATTCTGTAAAGGAGGTGCATTCTACATATATGTGTGTGTATACACACACACATACATTCAAGTGAATAAACATTTAGACTATTATGAAGAGCCAAGTTCAATTGCTTGATATGCTTTTTTACTTTGGGATTTTTTTTTCCAGACTCTTTACTGGGCATCAGTAGAAGAATATATTCCCAAATGGGAGCAGTTTCTTTTAGGAAGAGCACCATATCCTATTGGTGTTGAAAATCAAAATGAAGCAGAAAAGGAAGCAGAAGTTAAGGCACAGCAATAACTTCTTCACATATTGTTTTTAAAAAACCTGCTTAGTAAAGCTGGATACTAAAGAATATGCAGGTCACTGCAGGAATTTTAGGAATCTAATATATTCATGTTGTTCCATTAACTCCTCAATGACAAAGACATGAGAATCTACTGGCAAGTCTTGGGTTGCCCCTTAGAGACCTACGACTATTTCAAGGTCATGCATTCGCTTTCTATCAGTCTCCTGCAAGTATTAAAAACTAACATTGAAAGGTGGACTGTTTATTCAATAAATTGCTAAATGTTGTGTGTTGTTTTAAAAAAAATCACTTAGTCATTTTCATCTAAACAGTGAATACCAGCTCTTCTGATTTTTTATTTTGTAGAATCTTTGCTTTTCAGTTATTTTAGTATAAAGGCAAGGCACAGGATCGAAGTGATTGTTTGCTCACCATTTTAGTTTCTTTTAACAAATGAAAAGACAGTCACACTTAACTGCTTTAGTATAATAATATTCTATCAGAAAATAGATTCAGAGAATTTTGTTCCTTAGAAATAACCGGTTGTAGGAAACAACCAAAACAAAGCATTTGTTAAGTAGTCAGTTTCAGCAAGGCCCCGACTGGTTCTGAAAAAGGATACCTATTAAAGCTGGAGATGGTTATTGGATTTTGACTTGTCAACCCTGTGAGTGCAAATAACTCCTCTGTTATTTTTTTATCTTTAAACTTGCCCTTCCCTCTCCCTTCTGTTTTCATTATTTCTGAAGCAACTGTCAATCAGAAAGCTTTGGGTCAGAACCCTACACAGCCCTGAGATTCTTCAGTGCACTGCTGCCTGAACATTCACAAAAATTATCCTTTTCGAACTATGTAGGCAGGTCCTACTGATAAGAGAGTCTATGCTACGTTACAATGAAAGATTTTATATTCCAAACTGGTTTGTGTTTTTTAAAGAAGGTAATAGGAGAACTAAAACAAAATTGAAATGTTCATTGTGTTAGGTTTCTTTAAACTATCATTTTGGAAATACCCTATTGAGTGGGTTCTGGTGTGGATAACAATAATGTTTTCATAATATGTGCTGGCAGACTAGCATACTTCTTTACAGTTTTAACAGTTGTAATTAAGGAATAAACAGCACAGAGTGTCAGTCCGATGACAATTTCATCTATGGTGTCACAATACAAAATGTCACAAAATATTAGAACTGTTATATAACTATAAAAAGTATCAGCTTAAAGGCTGAGAGCCTTTTGAAAAGACAGAGAAAAGAAGAAAAAAGAAAACTGGCATAGAGACCAGAAAAAATTTATACCTTCTCAAGAATGTTCTGTCATGAAAATAAATTGATAATTTTTTCCTGTTACATTACAGTTTGGTTTCTAGCCATCCAGTTGATTTAGCAGGAGAATGCAGTGCCTTTTAGCAGCTTTGAATTGGTAAACAGATTTAGATGTAGTAGAAAGGAACATGAGGAAGTTTTTTTTTTAACATCCAATCTTTCCCAGCATATGCACATAAGAAGGTGAATGAAGCAATGTGAAACTTATTTCTCTTTAGTCAAATGAAAAAAAGGCTAAACATTTGTTGAGATGGTAAAATATTGTGTCAAGCAAGTAGGCACATTCCAAAATTAAACAGTGGTTGATATGTTAACGTCCTCAAATATTTGAGCATACACTTCCTTTGAGTTCTGTAAATTAAATCACCAGTAGGTTAGATTAAAATACAAAATGAATAGCAATTTCACCATCTCAAAAAAGGTTCAGGATTTTTCTCCCCTAACCTAACTTGCTAAATAGTTTTTAAAGAAAATGGAGACAACTGTACTTGAACAACAATAAAAAACAAAATAAAATAAAGAATGCTTAAGTTTAACATACTCTGGGTTAGGATTTAGGGCAAAAGGGAAGGTTTCTCTAGGTTTTAGCTGGATCATTTCTCCCATTTCTAGTTAATACCTTAAAAACTCCCAGAGATGACTTTATTCCTGGCCCCTACAGAGCTTTCTCCACTCCTCCCTCCGTATAGACTGGAACAGATTGCACCACATGGTGTGTGTGTGTGTGTAATTTCTGTAGGGATATGGATACCCCACCAAAGGTCTTTATATTCCTTGTGGCATATTAGCTTTACATGGGAATTTCCAAATATTGTTTTCTTAAGGAGAGGCAAAATACCATGTCTAATATATATTTTAGTACACAATTAGTAGTAATCAAACAGGAAAAAAAATACCATCTACTCATACCTTCCCACCTCTAATTTAGTCCTCTTTCTATATGCTACATTTTACCTACTATTTATCCTTCATGAAAACTATGAATTCATAATTTTTTAGGGTAATTGGGTTTTCAAAATAAGGGCCATTTCAAGAATTCGTTTCTACAGCCTTACTTAAATTGTTGCAAATCTATAGTCAAAGTTCATTTTCTGCTGAAACACTTCTAGTATATGGGATTATTAAGCTATGAAATGCATCAGAAAGTGCTGCAGTTTGTTTTTCCGAACTTCAAAAATTAAATTTTGAAGTACTAAGGAAAAAGCCTAATATTCTGGAAACCAGACCTCTGGTCTTCCTTGTGTGTAAGGAGCAGTGTGAATGAAATACCAGGCAAACCAACAGTTATTCTCTGCATTGTGTACAAGGTGTTTTAACTGGTTACCTTAAGACTTAGATGAGAATACTAATCTTTTACTTTCTTTACAATTTTGTCTTCTCTGCCTCATTTCCCTTTCTATCAAACAAAATAATAATAATAAGGTGGATATGTGGATATATTTTTAATCAAAATTAAACTTATTTGGAGGTTATTTTAGTACTTCTGAAATCACTGGAGACAGACTGAGGATGAGGTGAGTCTGGGTTAGATGAAAAACCAGAGTTTGCAATCACCATTTTTAGACAACAGGAAGATATTAAGCTTTAAAACCACTGTGAGTATAAAATTTGATGCATAAGGCCATGAATTTGACTTATCTACTTAACAGTTTATTTTCCTTCCTTACTCTATTAATGTCTTTTTACTCTAAGTCAATTCATACCATTTTATGTTATATTTTTTGTAAGTCTGTTATTCAAAACATTGTTTTAAATTCCCTGAAGAGTTTCTTCCCTCTTTTTAAGAATTGCCCAAATATAATAGTCACCATGGCTTAAATGACACTTCATTTCAATAGTCTATTTTGACCTCTTCCACTTTAATTAGGTTCCTGACCAAAATCTACACTTCAGAGAAGTGTAAATTTTATCAGAGAAGATAAAAACTACATGGTGAGTTCAAACAGGAAAAAAAGGGTTGAAAATATGGAGAAGGGAAAAAATTAACTTTTTGAAGGCTTGGAGTTGGAGCAAGGGTCTTTCTCTGTCTGTCTGTCTGTTTGACTCTCACTGGTGGTGGTTTTGTTTCTTTTATAATTTAGAAGTTAATTTGTCTTCATAGGAAATTTAATTCCCTATTGTTCATAAAAAGAACATTTACAGTTTCCTGGGGCAAACATGGGGATGTGTCAAACTTCAGCAATTAAGGAGAGGATTGATTGGTGGAATTGACACCTGGCATTGTGATCCCCTTTCTGACTAGAACGGAGATTATATCCCTACTAAAATCCAAGATGAGGAAAATGACTACAACAAAGACAGAGACTAAAAAATGCTTCCGGACATCATCTCACCTCTCAGAGTCAAGTTTCCTTGCTTACAAGAAAATGGACCAGGTCCCCTACCTTATAATAATGTTTTAAAGTTCTTGCTATTTTAAGAACTCTTAATTTGTGTTTCAGACAAATACTGAGCCCCAGCTAAAGTAGTGTCTAGATTGACTGTGATACAAATTAACAGTGAATTGAGGGGAAAGAGTGAAGTGTTCTTATTTTAGAAAGTGATGATTGAGTTTGTTTCTATCTTTTTTATGATAATTGGATCATTTAACCTCTACTGTTAAGGTCAAAGTGTTCTTTATTATTCCTTCCTAAGTCAAGGTCATCAAAGTATGAGTTTAATGTTTTGTACAATTCTACTTTGGGGACAACACAGTCAAATTAAAGGGAGACAAAATTGTATTTATGTATTTTCTGTAGCCCATCTCTATCTTTTTATATTTCCCAATACAACATAATTATTTTTCATACTATTTATAAACTCTATAACATTTATCAACATACTATTGTAGTAGACTGCTCTACCAGAAAAAGAAATACTCAGATGTTCAAAAGAAGCAAAATCTAAAACCTTTTAAAATAGAGGTGGATAACATTCAAGCACTATTCATTCATTCAGCAGGTCTTACTGACTGCCTACTCTGTACAAGGACCAGTTGTAAGCACCAAGAATATAGCAGTAAACAGAACACCACCCTCCCCAAAAAATTCATGTTCTCATGGGATTTATGTTTTGAAGGGGGCAGTGGGTGGAGGGGGTTGAGAAAGTAGTGATAAAAAAAGGTAATATTTGATATATTAAATGGTGACAAAGTCTATTATAGTATGAATATCTAAAGTGTTTTCTTAGTGCAAGAAAACAAAGCAGTTTTTGTAGTTTCTCAGAAAATATGACTAAAACAAAGTGGCTTTTTTCCCTATTCAAAGATCTTGACTGGGGAGTTTCCAGTAAAGCAACGTTTTCTCTGCTAGTATTAGATTGGCCAAAAAGTCTGTTTAGTTTTTTCCCTAAAATAAAAGACATATTTTTTCATCTTCACCAATAACTTTATGGATTTGAATATTTTGAGCATGTTGGCTGTCTTCCATGTGTTATGATGTTGATAGTTCTCAATAATGTCTCAATTTGATTGCTATCAACTTCAACTGATCTACTTCATTGTAGAGCATCTTCAAGGGAGAACTCTCCAGCATGAAACTTCACAAACCACTTTTGATACATTCAATCAGCCACAGCACCTTCTCCATATACTTCACAAATCTTTCTTTTGCATTTCAGTTGCATTTTTACCTTTCTTGAAATAATAAAGCATAATATGCCAAAATGGTGCTTATTTTCTTCCATCTTCAATATTAAAATAGCTATTCAAAAATTCACCAATTTTGATAACTTTGTTTTAAATGCATGCTGATATGACAGTTGTCACAATACAATCTGACTGAATTGTTTGAAAAGAAGTTAAAGGCAACTAAGCACTACTAGAGCCAGCCTGCAGAAAATGAATGAACTTTTTGGTCCACCCAATAATTTGTATATTGTGTAAGTTTAATGAATAGGTTTATGATAAAGAATGAAAAAAAAAACCCTCACTATTTCAACAGATACTTGTATATCAACACTTATATCAGCATTAATCACAATAGCCAAAAGGTAGAAATAACCTGGTTGAATATGTAAATAAAATGTGTACCAAAGACAGCAAGGATAGCTATACTTCTATCAGACAAATTACACTTTAAGCAAAAAACAGTTATAAGAGACAAAGAAGATTATTATATAATGATAAAAGGTTGATTCATCAAAAAGATATAACAACCACAAATACATATGTACCCAACATCAGAGCACCCAAATATATTAAGGAAGTATTAACATATCTGAAGGGAAAATAGAAAACAATACAAGGATAGTAGGGGACTTAAATACCCCAGTTTCAGCAATGGATAGATCATCCAGTGAGAAAATTAACAAGGAAACATTGGATTTGAGTCATATAGTATACCAATTAAACCTAACATATTTAAAGAACATTCCACCAAGAACAGCAGAATTCACATTCTTCTCAAGTGCACGCAGAAAAATTCTCTAGGACAGCTCATATGATAGATCACAAAATAAATCTTAACAGATTTAAAAGTTGAAGTCATATCAAGTATCTTTTCTAACCACAATGGAATGAAACTAGAAATCAACAAGAAAACTACAAAATTTACAAATGTATGGAAACTGAACAACACACTCCCAAACAACTGATGGGTCAAAAAAGAAATCAAAGGAGAAATCAAAAAGTATCTTGAAACAAATCACAATAGATGTATATAGATGTAGACTATGGGATGCTGCAAAAGCAGTTCTCAGTAGAATAGTTACAGGTTTCCCCCACTATCCAAAAGGACAGTGCTCCTATGAAACCTTTCATAAACTGAAATGGCTTCAAGTGAACAATATCCACTGCTTTCCAAAAGTTTGAGTTATGTTACTTCACTTTCACAAAAGACCTACATTAATACCTGTTTTTGTTAAAGAAATCCAAAGAGGATTTTTGCCTTTACAGAAAAACCATCACTGCTTTAATGTAGGTCTTTCATAAAAGTGAAGTGGTATAATGCAAACTTTCAGAAAATGGGGGATTCGTAGCTAGTGATAAATGCCTACATTAAGAAAATAGAAGCCCTGGCTGGCGTAGCTCAGTGGATTGAGCACGGGCTGGGAACCAAAGTGTCCCAGGTTCGATTCCCAGCCAGGGTACATTCCTGGGTTGCAGGCCATAACCCCCAGCAACCGCACATTGATGTTTCTCTCTCTCTCTCTCTCTCCCTCTCTCTCTCTCTCTCTCTCCCTCCTTCCCTTCCCTCCCTAAAAATAAATAAATAAAATCTTTTAAAAAAAAAGAAAATAGAAAGATCTCAAATAATAACTTTACACCTCAAGGAACTACTAATAGAAGAAAAAACTAAGCCAAAAGTTAGTAGAAGGAAGGAAATTACAAAGACCAGAACAAAAATAAATTGGAGACCAGAAAAACAATAAGAAAGAAAACAAAACCAAGATCTGGTTTTTAATCAAAAGACAGACAAAACTGACAACTGTTAGCTAGACTAAGAAAAAAAGAGAGAAGACCCAAATAAGTGAAATCAGAAATAAATGAGGAGACATTACAACTGATACCACAAATATCCATAGGATCATAAAAGATTACTATGAACAATTATAACCAATAAATTGTATAAACTAGAAGAAATGGATAAATTCCTAGATACATACAACCTACTAAGACTGAATCATAAAGAAATAGGATATCTGAACAGACCAGTAATCAGTAAGGAAATTGAATCTCTAGTCGAAAACCTCCCAACACACAAAAAAATCCCAGGACCAGATGGCTTCACTGGTGAATTCTACCACACATTAGAGACTAATTAACATCAATCCTTCTCAAACTCTTTTTAAAAATCTAAAAGGAGAGAACAGTCATTTTACAAGGCCAATATCACCATGATACCAAAGCCAGATAAGGGCACAAAAGAAAACTATGGACCACTAACTCTTATGAACATAAATGCAAAAATTCTCAATAAAATCTTAGCAAACAATTTAATAACACATTAAAAGAATCATACACCATAACCAAGTGGGATTTGTCTGTGCAGACAAAAATGATTCAATATACATAATCAATAAATGTGAAGCACCTTTATGTTGTGAAACACTGCTAGCATGAAAGATAAAAAACATGTATTATCTCAATAGATTCAGAAACAGCATTTTACTAAATACAACATCTTTTCATGCTAAAAAAAACCTCAACAAATTGGGTATAGAAGGAACACACTTCAACATAATAAAGGTCACATATGACAAACTTACAGCTAACATTACACTCAATGGTGAAAGACTGAAAAATTTTCCTTTAGATCAGAAGAAGACAATAATGTGCATTCTCACCTTTATTATTCAACATAGTACTGGAAATCCTAGCTGGAACAAGTAGACAAAACAAAGAAATAAATGGCATTCAAATTGGAAAGGAAGAAGTAAAATTGTCATTATCTGTAGATGATACAATCTTATATAGAGAAAATCCTAAAGAAAACCCAAAAATCTGCTTGAATTAATGAATTCAGTAAAATTCAGGATATAGAATCAACCATTGGAAATCAGTTGTATTTCTACATACTAACAATGAAATACCTGAAAAAGAGATAAAGAAAATTATTTCATTCACAATAGTACCCAAAACAATAAAATATTTAGGAATAAATTTAACAATGGGAGTGAAAGATCTGAACAATAAAAACTGTAAGACTTGGATGAAAGAAATTGAAGACACACACAAATGGAAAGATATCTCATGTTCATGATCAGAAGAATGTAATTAAAATGTCCATAACACCCAAAGCCATCTATAGATTTAATGCAATCCTTATCAAAATCCAAAAAGCATTTTTCACAAAATTAATTAGGAAAAAAGAAACCTAAACTTTGTTTGGAAGTACAAAAGATACCACTGCACACAGCCAAAGCAACTTGAGGAGAAAAACAAAACCAGAGGCATCGACTTTCCTGATTTCAAACTATACTACAAAACTGTATTAAAACAGCATAGTACTGGCGCAAAAATAGACACATAATCTGATGCAACAGAACTGAGGGCCAAGAAGTAAACCCTTGCATACACAGTCACCTAATGTTTGAAAAGGGAGCCAAGAATATTCAATAGGGAAAGGGTAGTCTCTTCAACAAATGGTGTTGGGAAGACTGGATAACCAGATGCACGAAAATGAAATGGGGCCTCAATATTACCCTGCTCACAAAAATTAACTCAAAATGGATATGATAAAGACTTAATCATAAGACCTGACATAGTAAAACTCCTAAAAGAAAACATAGGGACAAAGTTCCTTAACGTTAGTCTTGACAATGATTTTTTTTAGGTATAACACCAAAAGCACAAAAAGCAAAAGTAAAAATTAATAAGTGGTACTATATCAAATTAAAAAGTTTCTGCATAGAAGTAAAAAAATCAACAAAATAAAAGGGCAACACACAGAATGGGAAAAATATTTGTAAACCCATATATCAAGTAATGGATTAATATCCAAAATATATAAATAACTCATATAACTCCATAACAACAACTACAAAAACCCATAAATAATTCTATTTAAAAAATGAGCAGAGAGCATTGAATAGACATTTTCCCAAAGGAGATGTCCTTATAGACAATGGGTATATCAAAAAGTGTTTAACATCACTAGTTGTCAGGGAAACAAAAATCAAAATGGGTATCATGTAACAGACAAGAGACAATAACTGTTGATTGGGATGATGTGGAGAAAAGAAAACCTTGCATATTGTTGGTGGGAATGTAAGTGTTCAGCCACTATGGAAAACAGTATGGAGTTTTTCCCCACCCAATTACAGTTACCATATATATGATCCACTACTGAATATGCAAGGTCCGTTCAGAAGGTATCCAGCCACGTAATATGAAACATAGAGACATTTATTGAAGAAGCAATAAAGAAACACTGTATCTTGGGGACAATGACACCTTGGTCCCCTTCAAAGTAGGCACCTTGTGACCTCATACGGTTCTCCCAATCGCCATCAGCTGCTTCCTGAATCTCACTGACAGTCTGAAATCTCTTCCCTTTCAAAGGTGTTTTTAGTTTTGGGGAAAGCCAGAAGTCACAGGGTGCCAAATCTGGGCTGTAGGGGGGCTGGGTCACCTGGGTGATTTAATGTTTCACAAAAATTTCTGCATGAGATGTGATGCATGAGTAGGCACACTGTCAGAATGAAGGTGCCAATCACCAGTTGCCCATAGCTGTGACCTTCTAAATCATCCAAATAGTTTCTATAAAGGAATGCTCAAGCTTCACATAAAATTTGATGCAGATTCGTTGCTCTACTTAGTCTTTTGGAATGTGACAGCCACACAGAAAACATGCTCACCCAACAATGTCTACCACCCCCACTGACTAGTATGGTGAAATCATCATTCATGTATGCGCATTCCAGTCCACTCTCCTTGGTTGCCAGCTTACCTGAATGTTGTGTAAACCATTTTCATTATATTAATAATGGCTGGACTTTTTCTGGACAGAACTTACATTGCAAAGATATTTGTACTCCCATGTTCACTGCAGCATTATTCACAATAGACAAGATATGG